GGTCGAAGCCGCCGCAATCTGCCCCCCTCCCCTGCCCCTCTCCCGCCACCGCCCCGCCTGGACACACGAGACACGTGTGTACAGTGGGGGCCGTGACGGGGCCGGGGCCGAGGGTCTCTGTGCAGAAGTCAAACACATGCATGAGCATGCAGGAGGTTCGGGTGAGACCAGCTCTGGTCGGCGCTCCTGGGGGGTGGGAGCAGGCAGCATGCACTACCTAGGCGTGAAATGCAAGCAGGACTCAGCTGAACAGATGGCCTCCCCCTGCCCCCTCTCAAGCCAGCTCCCTGCCGGCTGCCTCTCTTGCCCTGGTGCTGCCAGAGCTGGTGGGAGCTACAAGGGGGCATTGATTTCTCTCTCCCCCACCCCCTCGTTGAGACCAACAGGAGGTGAAGGGGACAGAAATCCTTTTGCATGGAGCATGGGCGCCTGCTTTGCATCAAGGGCCTCAATACCCAGAGCACCCAGGGATGCCCCTTGGTGACGGAGACCTGGATAGGACCTGAGCCAGCCCCTGGGATGGAGAGTGCTGCCAGCTCTGCCCAGGGAGGGTGGAGTGTAAGAGGGGTAAGGGAGGCAGCTAGACACCCCAGCAAGCTGGACCCCAGCCTATTATGGCAGCCATGCTTTGGGGGCGCTTGCCGCGTGTGGGGCAGGGGAAGACAGGCTGCAATGGTCCTGGGTGCACGGGGCATCTCCAGGATAAAAGCTGGGTCCTTTCACCAGGGCGGAGCTGGCTCAAGGCTGCCTGGTGGCCTGTGCTCCTCCACGCATCAACTGCTGGCTGGGATGGAGGTCAGCCTGGGAGGGGCCAGGCCCTGAGCCAGAGGTTGGGTGCTGTTAAAGCAACCCCCACCCCTTTGCCACAACCAAGGGGTGGGGGTTGCTTTAACAGCACATAAATGCACATTCAGGACGCTCCCCCAGGCCGGTGCATGACCCCCACCGGGCCCCACAAACAGGAAGGAGAGCCTTACTATGGGGTCCGGGGGATGCCCATGGATGCTAGTACCTGATGCCCCCAACTGTGCCAAGGGGGTGGGCAGGGCAGGGCTGGGTATGGCGCACATATGAGCTGCCTGGGAGAACTCTTCACTGCTTGGGAAGGGAGCTCACGGACCCCTGGGACAGACCCCTCACGAGCACAGGCTGCCTGTCATGGCAGGTACGTGCCCCCACATACACACAGATGTGTCCACCTGGTGTGGTGCAGGTGGGACCAGCAAGATTTGGGTTCAGAGGGGCTCAGGATCCCGCTCCGATGCAGCTAGCTCCCGTGCATACTGGGATCACATCCCACCTCTGAGGGCACAAGCCTGGGAGCCAGGACACCTGGCTTCTCAGCTCTGCTCCCGTCCTGTCCCTTCCCCACGCCGGCCTCAGCTTCCCCGTTCGCCTGCCTCGCTGCCTTTCTGGGGCTGGAAGAGGCCCAGCTATAATTCAAAAAGCAAAAGGGGGGAGCTGCTATTTTCATGTTAGGATAAAGTGGAAGAACACATAGGCAGGGCTGTGTGCACGTGCACGTGTACGTGTGTGTACACGGCTGCTCTCTGAGCTACAGGGTCTGTGACCTTGAGGGGGGAAAGTCCCCATGGGAATAGCTCTATGCTGATAAAACCTGACACCCCAGCATTTTCCCCATCAAATGTACCACACCGAGCCCTGGTGGCCTGCTAGCTGTGGCTGTGAGCGTGGGGACCCTTCCTCCACCTGAAAAACAAGGCAAGGGCCCTGGTCACTCCACTTGAAAACACTTCAGGCATCTAATCATGGCAGGACAATGATGCCACGTGGTTAAACAACTAATCAGACACCGATGGGAGCAGAGCAGCCAATGAAAAATCGTGCAGCCACCAGCTGAAAGGTATTCTGCAAATACTCATGAGCCCAGAGGATGCACCAGGGCATCGGGGGGCCTTTGGGAGCAATTTCCTCCCCAGATACGGTAGCGATGGGTCTTAATCTAGCAGGGAAGGATGGATGGGTGGAGGCAGCAGGGGTGAAGTACTGGGGCTGGCCCACTGAAAAGTGAAGCCGTGTGTCCAGCTGTGGGAGGAGCAATCCAGTTTGGGGAACAACCTCTGGGGGAGCGAGGTACGGAGGTACTGGGCACGCTACACTACCAGTGCCCGGCATGCCACTTGGAGGCATCTGGAAGCAGAGGGGGAGCTGGGAGCCCCACGGCGGTGGGGAAGAGAAGGTCTAAAGCTATGCTACAGTGTTAGTACTCCTTCTCCTGCCTGCACATACACACATACACACACACACACGCACACTCTCCTCCAGCAACGGACCTCCAGCCAGCTGCATTTCCACGCACGTCACATGCAGCGAGGCCGGCACTTGGCCCGACGCGCGGCTCTGCCCCACAGGCAACGGGACCCTTTCCACCAGGAGCAGAATCCCATCATCCTGCGAAACCCAGCCACCAACAGGCGTGGGCTCACCCACTCACACCATGCACCCACACACAGATAGATGCGTATTGCCTAGGCCGACGGGCTAGTCATCCCTACCCCTGCCGGGATATAAGGTTGCATATTCAAACGTTGTTGCATATATGGTTACCCTCAGAGCGTGCATTGCTGTGCAGAAGGCTCCACTGTGCTTATAGTTACAGTCACGGCTGCAGGAGACGGTGCCCCTGCCAGCTAAGAGATAGGAAAGGTGGGGACGAACTCACCGGGCCTCCTGAGGGAGAACCCGGTCGTGCCCCAGCTACTTCCTAGACATGGAAAGAAAAGAAAAGGAAAAAAAAAAAAAAAAAACACATTCAATTAAGTCGCAATGCCCCTTGTTTAGCACTGGAAAGGAAAGGGTTACCTAGCCTTGCATAGCTGTTGATGAGATCCCAGCTCCAGCTCCAGGGATGACCCCCAGAGCCGGAGGGGTGCTGAGGACATCAGCGAAGAGGTCGGAGCCGCCCACCTCGCTGCTGAGAAGCTCCCGGCCAGACTTTACCCTGTTTCAAAGCTGACTCCGAGGCTGGCTCCAGGCAGAAGCCTCCAGCCCAAGCCACCGCTTGGAAGGAAAAGACCGGTGGCGAGGTCCCACGGTTCATCGCCTGCGGTACCTCCTGGCTGCAGGGGTGGCCACGGTCGATGGCCGCCCGAGAGGCTGCGGGAGATACCACAAGGGGCCTGGGCTGGTTCTGGGTGGTTCGAGGCCTGGGTTGAAATGCGCCTGTCTGGAAGCAGGCTGGGGTGGATTTCCCTCGGAAGAGAAGGCTGCCCAGGAAGACCGAAGTCTGGAGTCTGTTGCTTAAAACAAAGAGCATCTCAGCTCCCCGAGCAAGTCACCGGAGTTCCTCTTGCTAGGGGTGGTTTCGAGGGAGCAGGGGTAACCCTCGGCGAAGCCACGAGCATTGTCCTCTCTACCGCGTCCCTGTTGTGGCTGCCGCGTGGCCACGTGGCTCCCCTCAGCTGAATACTAGTGGCTTAATAATTCCCGCGTGTCCAGGAAGGAAGACTTGTTCAAGTAAAATCAAGGTGCGTTGAGAACCCGTTCGACGAGGCTGGAGGCCCCAAGCCCGCCCTGCGAGTCCGGAGCTGGTGGGGCCCGGGGTCAGCTTTCTCGCCTGCCCGCGCGGCACCCGTCTGTCTGCAGAAAGGGGGCTGCCCCTTGCCCCGGCTCTGCCCCGTCTGGGGCTGTCCCGTCCATGCGAGGAAGCCCGCTCAGTCCATGTTGGTGCTGGCCGACCTGGAGATGTTTAGGGTCTGGGCGGACATGGAGATGTCCTCGTGGTCCACGGGGCTGTGGTAGTCGGAGGTGATGTCGGGGTCGAGGGCAGGGATCGGCATGGCGGTCAGGCTGAAGGAGTTAGTGGAGCCTTTCCGTAGGCACTGGGTGTAGACGCCCAGGAGCAGGTCCAGCTTGTGCTCTATGGACTGCACCTGGTGGGGAACAGGGAGGGAGGAAGAGGATTTCAGCCTCGGCTTGGGGCTGCAGGGGACAGGGTCCCCAGATTCAGCGGGGCAGCACAGCTCTGGAGGGCTGGGTTCAAGCCCTGTGAAGTCCCGCATGAAAGCACTCCTGGAGGACTCCTTGAAGACATAGCTGCCATGAGGCAACTGGGCTAAGCAGGCTGGGAGACCCCTGCCCACTCTGTGCTCCTAGGAGAGTGGGCACAAAGGAGCCAGACCCAGGAGGCAGGAGCCAGGCCCACATGACAGGGAGCCTGAGAGAGAGATGGGACATGAGGGGTTTGCTCCCTGAGGACAGCTAGGATGTAGCAGCATCAGGAGCCCGATTCAGTCCCCACCTCTTCTCTATTCAACCTCGCTGCCCCCGAGGCAGGAAGGGAACCCAGGCGTCCTAGCTCCTACCCTGCTCTTGCTGGAGAAAAGTACCGTGGTTGAAACGGGACTGTGGACCACCTTCTTCCACCCACCACTGGATGGACAGACGGACACCTTGCTCTGGCGGACACCTCCCTCCACAGGGTTGAAGCAGGAGCCAGGCACATGCACTGGGCTGTGCCATGCTCTTGGAAGCCACGCTAGGTGCTGTGCATGCCACCCTGGCCCCCGGCCGTACCTGCTTCTCCACCTTGACCACACGCCCCATCATACTGAGATCGTCCACCGCATCTGCCTCCAGCGCAGGCTTCTCCATCTTCTCCCGGATCTTCTTGTCGAGCGGCATGGCTCCCCTCCCTATGATCTGATCCACGCTGTCCGTGGGAAGCCAGCACATGGGGGCAGGGGGTTACTTCACTTTCCAAGGCTTGGGAATATGCTGGACAGGGCCAGGGCCAGAACCAGCCAGCCCTCCAGCTTCACATCTGGTCTTGAATAGGGACCAGAGCCGAGCAAGATGCACAGCCCCCCACCATGCACGCGGCTGCATGATGCATGGACGCAAGATCCTTCCCATCCCCTGCGGGCACAACTCTGCCCGGGGCTGCAGCATCATGCACTCTGAGATGTTGCAGGGTAAGTCTGTGCAGTGACGTGAAGGGGAGAGTGCAGCTGAGGCCGGAGCAGTGCAGATGGCATGCAGCATGGCCCAGGCTGCCACACAGACAGACTTCACGTGGCCATTGTGCAAAGGGCCAAGGAAGGGGGCATCGGGCTCAGAGCATTAGCAGCTAATTGCCACTGTCCTTGGCCTCCTGACCCTTGTCACCGGGGATATGGCAGGGGAGAGGGCCGCTCCAACCTAAGGCTGCCGGTGTAAAAGGCCACAAGTCTCTCAGTCTCGGGGCTTTGTCCTGCTACCCATCAGCCTGGTGCTGGTCCTAGATGTAGGCATCAACAGGAAAGCCCCTAGCAAACTCCAGAGAGTCTCTGGTCATGAAGAGATGAAATGGCTAACCCACTTCCCAAAGGAGTGCAGGGAATGGTACAACTTCCTGACAGCTGAGTTTTGCACCACTTCCCCGCTCATCCTCTCACCCCCCCCAGAGCAGGTCATATGAGAGCCAAGTCCTGCACAGGAGGAGGCTGCAGGAAGGCAGCCAGGACCCCTGGGATGGGAACAGCTCTCCCCGTAGGATCGTTGCATGCAGCAGGGGCCCCGTAGGGCCACGCGGGATGCTCTCACCGTGACTGGAGGCTCTTGATGCGGCCCAGCATGTCCAGGTGCCCGGCCGAGTATTGCTCGATGACGTCCTTGACATCATAGGGCCTCAAGGTCTCCTTGAACTTCCTCTTTGCCACCAGGAACCTCAGGATCCTGGGGGGCGGAACACAGGAGGCATGAGCCATGGGTAGCTCGGAGGACCCCATGACTTGCCGCTTGCCTGAGAGCACCCCTCTGGCTCAGGGGTTTGCCGCGGGAGACCATGGTTAACAGAAAGGTCTTCATCCGAGCCATCCTGCCTCTAGGGGTGGGTCTCTGATGGGGAGGAGGGTCTCTTATCAGGTACCATGCCTTTTGGAGTGGCTGGGGACATGGCCCAGTGCAGACCCAGTCCCCAGGTTTGCTACCAAGGACAAAGCAAGGACCACAGGCAGAACCACAAGCCAGGCGCATGGGGGCTGCCACACATGACCTCCTTTTGCAAAGGCATCCTTAAATCTGTGACTGCCGGCAGCTGGGAGGGTCTGGCAGGGAATGTGTCCTGCTTCGAACACCATCTCTAAAGCCTCTGCTTTAAAGCTGGGTGCCCCTGGGGCTATTCCTGCCACCCCCTCCCTGTGCGTGCAAGGCTGCGCCCTGCTCGGTACGCACTGCCCAACTGTGCATGCGACTCCCAGGAGAGGAGCCAGCAGCCTGCCCTCCTGGCTGCTGCCTTTGTCCCAGGGGAGCGGTGCTGACTTTACAACCTGGAGCCCAAGTCCTGGGAGCCTAGGGCAGCTGCAGGTCCTAGGTGATTGGGGAGCAGAGAGAGGGTCTACAGCAGCGATTTCCAATCGGGGTTCCTCGAGATCCCTTTGAGGGTGCCATGCAACATTAGCCCTGCTACATGTGCAAAGATAAACCTGGAGATTTTGAACGGGAATCCCGAGTGTTAACCCCCCCCCGCCCTGCCATGGTCTTTCCTAGCTCTCTGCAACAGAAGCACTGCTCTACTGCTTGTCTGTTGTCAAAACTAAGAGCTGGCATTTTCCGACGGGGTGTCTCGAGTCTGCCGAGGTGTGCCTTAAGGGGTGACCCTGAGTCTGAAAAGGTTGACAACCCCTGCTCCAGATGCGTTACTAGCTAGCTGTATGCAAGCTCCACAGTGGGAAGAACCTGGCTGCTGTATTTGCCCTTGGAGTCAGCCTCAAGCAGCGAGGAGGAGGAGAGAAGGGCCCAGCCCCTGGCTCCCTCCCTGCCAGCGGCTGCTCCTCAGTCACCTGCCCCTTGTCAAGCAATTAGCCACAATGCTGCTTACACAGCAGGGGCAGAGAAGCTGGCAGGGAAGGTTTGTTAGCGAGGGCTGTTCTGGGCGGTGATGGATAACTTCATAACTCCCCGTCAGCAGAGCCGGAGCAGCGGGGCTGGCGTACGAGGCACTGGGGACTTGGACCCGTGCTCTCCTCCAGCTTGCACTAAGTGGCCCCAATTAATGAGCCTCGTTTGGTAGGCACAGGCCACAGACCGGGGTCTGAGGCTGCAGGGCGAGCTCACTACATCCAGGGAGCTACATCTCTGTGTGATGCATCTCTGCTGGGGGGTCTCGCCCAGCCAGCTGCCCCGTCTAAGTACAGGCAAGCCCTCACTCCAGACAAGGTCTCTGTCTAGGTCCAGATGCAGGCACCAGTGCCGTTTGCTGGGCGGGCAAGTGTCCAACCTGTGCGCACCACTGGAGAACAAGAAGTCTAGGTTGGGGTAGCTGCACTTTGAAAACAGTGGTTTGCATCTACAATGGACCCAGGAGCTCCAAAATCCTAGCCCCCTGCTACGCTTTAACCACAAAAACCTCCTTTTCCTCCCACCAGGGGGTATAAAACCTAGTCCTAAGTGCCTCACACCCCCAACATCCTGGCCATGAGGGTCCTGCTGCCCTCCCAGAGCGAAGATGAGAAGCCAGGAGTCCTGGCATCAGCTCTCATGAGATATCCCGGCTCCTACTGCACTCCACTTCCACACCAGAGCGCAACCGGTGGAGACAAGGTGGCTTTTCAACCTACCTCCCCACCCCTATCCCACCTCTTCTGCAACCTCGGCACTGACACCCCTAGGGATGCCACCCCAGGGGTTGGGGAGGAAAGATGGTGGGCATGAGTGGTGGACATGCTTGGGGCAAAGGGGTCTCTTCTTAGGTGCCACAGCTCTTGGGATGGCTGGGGAAAGGCAGGCAGAGCACAGCCTGCGGTGGGCGCAGCTGCCTAGCCTTCTTTTGGGACACGCGCTTGGGTTTGAGGACTGAAACAATTCATCCAGGAAAAAAAAGTGGCAATGAAAGTGGCCTCTCTGCCCAGCCTCTGCTCCCTGCAGCTGCCTCCTTGGGGGTGTGAACTGGAGATGGCCTGTGCTGTCACCGGGATGCTTCGCAGGCCTATTTGTGTCAGGAGCTTCACCGGGAAACAAAGCCCGTCCGCTGGTAAATTAATGAGGCAGTGGGGGAGCGAGAGCCAGCAGGGGCTGGCTGTCAGCGGCACGGAGAAGGCAGCGCCGAGGGGCTGGGGCAAGCGCCCCAGGCAGAAGCCTCCCATCTAGACAAGCCCCTCTCCCTTGGTCCCCTCTCGCTGCTGTTCTCCAAGCTCATCGCAGGCACGGACACAAGCAAAGAGTCCCCTACACAGAGGACAAGCCCCAGTTTAGCTTTGCAAGAGGCCTGGGCTGGGGTGAATACGGCTTTCATTTGGAGAGGGGAAGTTTGCTGTTTCTGAGACCTGTGCTCTGATGAGCGGGAAAGGCGTCATTTCCCTGATTGGGACTTCCTCTCATCTGGGGGCTTTGAGTATTTAGTGCAGTGACGTCCCTGCTCCCCATGCCTCTTGCCTTCACGGTGCTCCCTGGGCTGGCCTGAGATGCCCGAGTATTAAGGCCAGAGATGCACAGTCCTCTCAGCAGCAACCACCTGAAAAATGCCCCAAGGAAGCCCCAGCCCACCCCTTCAGCTGGGGGACACCGGCAAGATGCCCCAGGCCCTCTCGCTGCTCTGGCCGAGTAGCCCAGGG